TAATTATTCGTGGAATTTCCCATCGACTGATATTGTTCAATCCATCGAAAAGCGAAGATTATATCGAATTCGTCTTGCGAGAAGTTAAAAGAATTATACCAAAGTAAAATTGTTAATGAATTTGATGGGCATTTTCTATTCGTTTGAAAACAACTGTTGCTCCCATAACTATTCGTTGATTTCGAAGTTCTTCTTGAAAGTTTAATGTCACAAAGTCTTTGGTAAAAAAAAATCTATAATTATAAGTTTGCTAACATTGCTTTCAACAACCTTGCCGGTGGTTTTCAGGAAGCTCCCTGAAATTATACCAAATTTACAATACTGTATAAATACATAATAGTATCAATCTGTCAATAATACGACCACTGAATATTTCAATGTGAATTTAAATTTCAGGTTTACTATTATGAATTACGAGATGCAGAGTGAGACTTTAGCAGGTCCAGCAAATTGGACAACATTTGTATGGACTTTACGGCGCAGCAGATTTATCAGCTGCAAGAAAGATTCCGCAGTTCGATTTCGCAAAACCTATCCTCATATCTTCAACAAAAAACCTAAAATTGGAAATGAAATTATACTGACACTTCAAGCATTCCGTAATTGGGCTATTGAGCGTGGTGTAACACCGATGCTCTATGCAGGCACCCTGCTTGGTATTACTATTTCTAGTACAATTTGCACTTTAAAAAAAAGGAAAAGAAAAGAATTCCAAGAGAGGTTGGTTAAATGGCTGTCAAGTTCAACTGAATGATGCATTATCTCTTACGATAGGTCATCTGCTATCTGCAAACTTCTATGAACTTCTTAAACTGTTACTTGACGATAATAAATATCTACTAGTAATCATGATTTATAAGACTTAAGTAAAAGTTATGGACAGAAATTTTTATTTGAGGTTTTTTCCTAAACTTTCCTTTTGGTATTTTTTTCCCACAAAAGTTCTTTGAGTATTACCTGAGATTTCAATTCAACAATTAAAAAGCAATCGCTAAAAGGTTTAGCTTCCTCAAGGCTAACCTAATATAGCAGAAGGAAACTGCTCGCTAGAAATCATATTCGAAAAATTGCAAGAAAGTTTTCTTTCACAGTGATAAATAATATTTTGTTAATTTCATCAATGTGTAAAAAGATTTTAATTGGTATGAAATTTAGGTTGGTACCGACAATGTGGTATCATACCATATACACATGATATCGACTTTACGATCTTCATTGAGGAATATTATGACGAATTTCCAGACGATATTATGAATAGTTCATTTATGAAGCTTAGTCTACGGTTTAATAAGGTCAGTTATTAAAATATATGATAAATTAATTGATAAGAAAAGTGAAAGTGATCCGATGATAAACACATTAACAAATAAGATTTACAAAGCGTATTGATCCATTTTATTTCACTTCTAATTTTGAATTTGTTATAGCCAGAAGATTTATTGGAATACAAAGTGTATATAAAGAATAGTATTCCAATGGATATCTTCTTTCTATATCATGATCAAAGCAATTCCTGGGTTGGAGGTTTATCTTATACAACCAAGTACAGGTAAGTATTTATTAATCCTTTTTTTTTAAGCTCTATTATTCAATGCAAAATTTATAGTAGGAAACAATTGGTTGAATAATCTATTTTCAAAACTTTTTTCTATAAATTAATATTTGATATGATTTGAGGTTTATTTATCCGTTGATAAATCAAACTTGCGGAACTGATTTCCTTGGTTATTTGATGTATGTACCATGCGATCCATTAAGTCTTATTATGGTAAATTTCGCAATTCGAATTTATTTATTACTTTCCAAAAAGAAACTATCAAGAACTAAAATATAATTAACAAAATATTTTCCATCAAAAAAAAATATTTAAAAAAATTTCCACATTTTCAGAGTGAACATGGCGAAAATTGGTGGGAACCACTTGATTCCTCTAAATATTCATGGAACGAATCGCCACTAAATGTAAGAGAAATTGGAACTATTCCACCTGAAGATATAGCTGAATCATTTATAGATTACGACAGGTAATCAATTTACATATATATTTAATATTTTGTTATATATTTAATTTATGTTGATGATATTAAACAATCTTTAGTTTTAGCAAGTAAAAGAATTATTTCTTTTTGAATTATAATCGTTGTATTCCGCTTATAAAAAATGACAACATTGTAGTATGGAAATGAAAGCGACCGATAAAGAAGGATACAATTCATTGACAAAACGCATAACATCACAAAGTATCTGATACTATAAAATGTTGAATATCATAAATCATTTGTGAATATCAGAAAAATGTGATAACTGTATGATTGACCTCAAAGAGAGAGCAGAATTTTTTCCACCAAATTACACCTAATTAACCAATGATACTCTTATTCATATAAAGGGTAAAGAAATTTTTTGCCGAGGAAATGGATATTCATATTCAAATATCCATTTTCATGACAAAAAATGGATCGGTTGTTGCTCATGCCTAAATAACCTAAAATATAGAATTTCAAAAAAAAACTGATATTTTTTGCAGAATGATAAAAATTGCACGAATGTTTCTTTCTTCATTTCTTGTTCATTCAGGCTTATATAAGTGAATTTGGTAGAGAAAATGTTGCAATTTGTTATCGCTCATTTGTTTTTGTTTTGTTGATTTTTTAATGTTAATAATTTAATTATTACACACCAAGCATCGTTTGGATTTTAATGAATTTCATCACACCCATTTATAAACATATCCAAAACATATAAGTCAGCCTGAATTTGCCAGCTTCAGAGAACATTTTGAAATCCACAAATTAATGGAACGATAAATGCGATGCATCAATCATGTTTGATCATTTGGAATTTTCAAGTACCCCTTATTTATTGTATTTGAATATTTGATGTGTCTGTTCAGAAATGACTATGTCTACGACCATACCATGTTGAAAGCACGACATCTCGTCCGATCTGTCAAGTTAAGCAACATTGGGCCTGGTTAGTACTTGGATCGGAGACGGCCTGGGAATCCCAGGTGTTGCAGACATCGCTTTTTTAGTTTTCGAAGAAAACTATTGCGATAGAAATCAGATAACTGTTGACAATCATACCAGAATAACCGAGTTGAACTTACAGTAATGCAGATACAAGTTAAGGTAACTGAATGTTTCGGTTCAGAATTTTTACTATTGCGATTTTAAAGTAAAATTTTGGAGTACCTCTCATTTCTATGACAATAGCAGTAAAAATATCAGTAAAGTAAAATTGAATACCGTAGCGGGAGCAGATGTAAAATTGTTGAGAAGAATGGGATGTACATATTTCTGCGTGAAGATAGAAAATAACTACAAAGTGTTCATCTAAATGATGGAAATGCTGAAAAGCTGAACGGTAAACAATGATATGTATAATATCATCATTATAATGGACCAAGTACTGTTTGGATTTTGATAAATTTCATTACATCCATTTATAAACGCGATCATAACATACTAAGTCAGCCTGAATTTGTCGCCTTCACATAACAAATTGGAATCTCCTGCAAATTAGTAGGACGATAGATGCGATGCAATCGGAGTGATGCGATCAATCATGTTTGATCATTTGAAAATTTCAAGCACCCTTTCTTGTTCAATCATTTGAATATTTGATGTGTCTGTTCAGAAATAACTATGTCTACGACCATACCATGTTGAAAGCACGACATCTCGTCCGATCTGTCAAGTTAAGCAACATTGGGCCTGGTTAGTACTTGGATCGGAGACGGCCTGGGAATCCCAGGTGTTGTAGACATCGCTTTTTTCGTTTTTCATGAATGCTACTGCTACGATAATAACCAGACGATTGTTGACAATCATACCGAATAACTGAGTTGAACTTATAGTATTGCTGTAATCGAATATTTCGGTCCAGAATTTTTGCTATTGTGAGTTCAAAGTAAAATTTTGGCATATCATGAATTTCCAGAACAATAGGAGTATAAATATCAATGGTAGCAAAGTTCAACATCATAACGGGGGCAAATGTGAAATTGTTGGGAAAAATGGAATATACAATATTTGTGCGCAGAGATAAAGGGAAATAATTATGGCAGATAAGAGGGAGGAAAGATGTCATAAACAGCCGATCGTAGACTGCGATATTTCTAGGACATAATGGCGGTAAAGAATAATTTCATATTTTATACTTGATTTTACTAATGTCAATTTTATGATCACTCAAAATATGAATAACTTTCACAATGTGTGGTCCTGAAAAACCAAATGGAAATGAATAACAGATAAATCAGGATTTATTATTTATTTAAATGTTAATAAATTTGATGCTAATAATACTGGCACAGTAAAACAATAGTGTTGTGGTAAAGTGATGTAAATTGGATGAAATTATAAATTATTTTCAAAATTCAGTTTGTTAAAATTGCACGCAATTATTTCAGTTATTTTAAAAACGAAACAATAGATATTTTTAGATACATTTTACTGATATAACGATAAAGATGATTAAGTAAAAGTAAGAGACGTATTAATTTCATGAAACATTGCAAAAAATGAAAATGAATGTAATTTAATTCCTGAAGACGAATAAAGTAGAGCTTACCAAAAATTGCCAAACCAAACCAATTCCTTAATAAGCGACTTTTCATTGGAATGCTGTAACTAACGAACAAATAAAATAAATTAATAGATATAAAATTGATGTAATAATAATTTATAAATTGTCAACCGTTTGAAAACATTTTATAATCGTATATTTGATATTTGAACGTATTTTTATTAATCTTGTGCTATAAATACATCGTAATCATACAAATCCTTTATTAATCATAGCACTTATGGAAAAATTGAAGTGATTTTTCCACAAATTCATAGAAAAATTCAAATTAAGAAAATGATTATTATTTAGAATAATATAACAATAATAATAATAATAATAATAATAATAATAATAATAATAATAATGCTATTAATATTAATATGAAATTAATGAAAAAATAAAAATGAAATATTAGACATTTTAAAGAAAAATATAGAGCATTGATATTGAATGAATGGAATGATTAAGAATTAAAAATAGTAATAAAAAGTATTTGAGGGGAAATAATTGCAAAGCTTAATTTGAATTTAAATCATTTTTCTTTATTCGAAATGAAAATGGAAAAATAACTCAAATAAATAATATAAAATAATACCATCTATTTATCTAATCAAATGAGAGGAAATGAAAGAATCCAATAAAAGTTCAAAAAGATGTTAATTCACTGAAAGTAAAAATTCAAGTATTAATTTTATAGTATATATAACGTAGAATATGTCGAGACAAGAGTGTTTTCTTTATGTCATAGGAAATAATTTTTAGTAATAGCAGGCAGCAGTGGTGAATAGATGATAATGATACACCACCAACCTATTTATTATATAGGATAATAATTGTCGGTAATGCAGATAAAATTTCTCATAATTATTATATAGTATATAAATGAAAAAAAATTTTTTAACAAATCGTCCAATCAAAGGATAAGTCTCAACAGATCGCAGTATGGAGGCTGCTTTACTGCTTACAACACCTTGACCAGTAATCAAGTCGTCTGCAAGTGATTTTGCGCCCCAA